GCTCCAGGAATCAGCAGTACCACGTGGAAGGTACAGAAGTGGGTATGGAAAAAGAGGAGGACAAAGGAGCATGTGTTCGCTGGGAATCTGAGCTTCACTTTGAGATGCAATACAGCCGTTTGAGCATTTGCTCTCTGTAACACTATTTTGTCCACGACACTTGGGTTTGAATGCAAATGGCTTAATATTCCTCAGGCCAACAGTCCAGGAAGACGGCGGAGATGTCATCTTCAAGGGTTTTGAAGATGGGATTGTGCAGTTAAAACTGCAGGGTTCCTGCACCAGTTGCCCCAGTTCCATTGTCACATTAAAGAATGGAATACAAAACATGCTGCAGTTCTATATTCCAGAGGTCGAGGGTGTGGAACAGGTAAGCACCTTTGCAAGGATATGAGCTGTGCTCAACATTTCTTCTCTATGTTGCCCCAGATTCTCACAGCGTGGTCAAATTCATTAAAATAATAAAACCATTAATACATGGTTCCTGCCAGCCATGTTTATGGACTCCTTCCAGATGTTTTACCCCCTCATTTAAAAAAAATAAATACAAATCTTTCAGCATTTTTCTAAAAAAATTGGAGGCTGCCTGCCCTACCAGGCAAGATGGCGCAATGGTGCCGTATCAGACGTGGATCTCTTCCCTAAATTGTTGTGTGAATGTGCGCCATCCTTCGAGAGAGCCAGCATTTAGCAATGGCCTTGAAGATGGCAAGAACTCCCCAGAGAGTAGCTTTATTTCAACTTCGGGTGCCTGGAAAGGAATAGTTTGTTACCCATCTGGCAGAACATAGTAATGGCCCCTTATCAAAGATTTGCGTTTGCTCTTGCCTGTTTTTCGGCTCTTGCCTCGGTTAAGCTGCCCAACCCTGTTCTCATCTGGAGAGGGTTGCAGTAAGCAGCACATTCCAACGTTGTGGTTATTGGATGCTACTTCCTGCACCTCGTTCTCAGTGCTGGGGGCTCTGATCCCTCGTGGCGTACCATGGCATGGGGCCAGGCTCCCGGAAGGACCGCCTCGCCCCCACGATCTCTA